GTTGACCCATTCAAAGGTTATAGGATGGAACCGGTTTTATAAATAAAATTGGCAATAAATAGGAACTTGGTATAGTCTGTTTGAATACCATCTGTTTCTTTTGAAAAGATGTCCTGTGAAAAATGTATTTCCAGATCTTTCTGAAAGACTTTCATGATTTTCAACAGAAAATGGTGGCTAAAGGGGGGTGTTGAGTCACGTTTTGTCCGCCGTCACGAAATGTCCGCCACTTTTTCAGAAAAATCGTCACGTTATGTCCGCCGTCACGAAATGTCCGCCTCTTTTTCGGAAAAATCGTCACACTATGTCCGCCGTCACGAAATGTCCGCCTATTTTTCGGAAAAATCGTCACACTATGTCCGCCGCCACAAAATATCCGCCTTTCTTCCAAACAAATCGTAATATTATGTCCCCCGCTACAAAATGCCTTATAAAACAAATCGTTATATTGTCCACCGACAAGAAAAGCCCGCCTTTCTTCCGAAAAAAAATCGTCAGATTATGTCCGCCGCCAAGAAAAGTCTGTCTTTTCTCGGTAAACCCGTCACTGATCACATAGTGTCTGCCGTAAAGAAATGTCCTTGAATATTTCGGATTGTAAATATCGTCTCGTAATGTCCGCCTTCACGAAAAGTACGCCCTTTCTTTTAGAAAATTGAGACTTTTTAACTATATAATTTATATATACATATAACTTTTTAATAAACTTTATATCAAAATTATTTTAATCTTTTTAAATTTTGCAAAATTTTATTATTTTTTTTTTTTTTTGGTCTTAGTCGTAAGTTCTTATGTGAAACGGGCCCAAGGCCTTTACCTAATAATTGAACAAACCAATACAGAATTGTCCCTTTCTAAATTTTCAAATGATCACGTGTTTACACCATCCAATGGGGAACGCGTTGCTCGGTCGCTCCTGGCCGTAGGTAGGTATCTGTTTTTACTTTGACCCCTGCTGCGCCACGTGACAGGTTTATAAGAAAAATGAAGACTATCGGGTAAGTATAATACTTAAACAAACAACAGCTGCATGTATGTTGTAAAATAATTAAAACAGATTGATGATGAATTTATATTGATTTTCTATTACCAGCCTCTAATTGTTTAAAAGATAAAGTCCTTCCAGATTTATTTTCAAGCAGAATGTTCTCAAAGCCAGCAATGTTATTTATTTATCATTCTTCATGTTTATTTTAATTAATAATCATTTCTTGAATTAAGATTTTTTTTTTTCAATTTTAACCAATGTGTATTGATTTGTTAGGGATAATGTACATATACTGCATAATATTATCATTTAAATGTAAAAATAAAATACAAATTGGTTAAAATTGAAAAATCATTTTTCCAAGCGAAATATTTCAGTTTCTTGTTTTAAAAATAACTTAGTTAAGTTAATTTTTCTCATAAAATTCAATTCATCTGTCGGTTTGTTCAGTGCATGCAATTTCTTGTTTTCAGAATCTTTAGTTAGGGGGGATGTGCTTTTTTTTTAAATATTGTTTTCATGATGGTTCAAAATTGTAACTATTTGCTTCAAGAATGAAAGAATAGAATAAGCAGTTCTGACATGTTTAATTGTTTATGAATTGAATCAGTAATATATTTAATTTCAAAAAATACATGGAAAGAGAACGTTGAACGCATTTCAGAATTGTGGGGGTGGGTGGGTTAAAATAACAATACATTTTATAATTTACGGTGAAAATTAGAGCACACTTGCGACCGATACGCTTGTAAGAATGTGTAATATCATCTACACCGAAAAACCTTTGTTTGCCTTATATGGCTATTGTTATTAATACGCACAGAGGATCTACCACGAGCAACAGACCAATCGTTGAATAGCGACGTTTACGCCAAATACTAGTACATGTTTACATTTTACTTCGAACACGTGCGCATGGTTCATCAAAATAAATGTGCTTTATGTCAAGTTCAGAACGCCAGAGCTTCAACAAGGGCAAGGAAAACGAGCAGCGTCTCATGCATTTAAATGGATAAAAGCTTTTATTATACATAACTATACTCGTAATCACGTGTTTTGGCCAGGGAATCCGCCTGACAATTTTATTCACCGATAGTACAACAACAGAATTAATAGAGACGCCTATCGCTTTCAATTGCAGCATGACTTTGAGAAACCTAGATTTCCACCGTTTATTTAATAAATGAATTGTCATTGTGAGCATGAAAATAATACAATTTAGAAAAAATGCATATGCTTTTCATTTATAAGAGATGGATGGAAAAATGGCCTTTTCGATCGCCATAAGATTTTCCTTTTCTTTCAAGCGTAAAATTCCTGTAATATTCGTAGTAGCCCATAATGCAATTGTCATTCAGCTGATTTGTCAGTTAAAGTAATGTTGGTGCCTCATTTGCTAATCTGACGCCAAAAATATAGTCCCGGTTCCCTTGCAAGAATATTTGTCCTAAAAGAAATTTTAATTCATGGCTAAAGAAATTGTATCATAGATAATACTTATTTAAGTTTGAATGAATTCAAGTGAGATCGATTAAAGTAGATTTCTACAGATATTATAGGGTTGTGAAAACTGAAACGCAACATAACGTTTCTGTTTACCATGTCTCCACGTGCAAGTCACTTCCTAACCACATTTCCGTGAATAATTTACCCTATCTCGCTGTAGTCTCGCTAACTCTCGCCAGAGCCACCACCAGAGCTATTATGAACTCATCAGGTTTTATAATGTGCAGAACGCCGAAAAATAAAAGGTTCCGAACACATTAGTAGGGGTGCTCTACGTTTGAACAATTTCTAAAATAAGGTTAATTTTTTACAAACAAGAATATCATCATTTTCGTTTAAAGTGACAATTTCGTTAGTTTTATGGTCAATACAAATGCTTGTCAGCAAATGCAATTTATAATCAAGTCAGATACTTACAGACGTCTGGCATACTAATTGTTAGTCCATTATTTACACATTAAATTGTCAGCGGATTTTCCGGTATTTCCCTATCATGATAATGAGCACATGGTGGGTGTGACCGAACGGCAGAGGATGCTCACTCCTCCATGGCAGCTGATCCCACATCTAATGTTTTGGAGGTCCGTGTTTGCTCTGCTCCTAACTCTTATTTATCCTTTAAAAGCACAATGTGCTTCATATAGACTTTAACAAAAGTATGACATTTGGAAAGACAAGTGAACATGCATTACCTTAAAATCTGTAATAAATGTAGCTGTTCATTTAAATATTATAGTCAATAAAACATTCTTCGTTTGTATGTAATTGAAAATATTTATCAAATTGATTATATGATTACATGTCATTCTGTTATTTTGTTATCTGCCTGTGGAATTGTTTATCTACAGAAACATTATTTTCTTCGAAATTTCATGGTATGTCCTCTGATTCTATTTGTGATCTTTTTAAGTTTTAACCATAACCATCATGCTACGCTCAAAGGTAGTTCACAACTTCTACAAAAAACAAAACAAATATCTGGAATGAACTGTAAGTATAAGACACTTCCACTTTCAGTTTCCTGCGATATTTTATGTATGAATGATAATGAATACTAGCATGACAAAAAAATACAACGAATATGTATTTTTTTTCTAAATATGTAAGAAATTAGATACTTAGCAAATGTGCATTATCAAAACAATGCGAAAAATGATAAGGACAACACTTTCATTCCGGGACGCAGTGAAAACTGGTGATATTTTGTATTGATTTCCTTGTGGAGTTGCTTTGTAGTTTGTCAAAATATATAGGATATATTTGGATTCTGTTAAAACTTTGCGAATGCAATTTCTTTACCATTTTCTAAAATTATATATAAACAATTACCTGAGAATTCCTATTACTATGGGGTGAGTATAATTTTTGTTTAATCTGGTTCATTTGCTAGAACGCACATCTTTATTTGAAGAAAATTAAAGGCTTTACTTTTTTCACAGAGAAAACAATAAATGCCGTTACAACTTTTTCTTCAAAGGAACAACTTGTGTAGGTAAGGGGATATTCAGTACTCTTTTATACATGTATTTAATATTAACTCAGAATCAAAATTTACCAATATATAATTGAAGATTTATTTCAATTTTTTGTATACTTACAATGAAAGACTATTATTATCAGAATGTCCTCCTGGTTACTATGGTAATAACTGTAGTGTACCATGTAGCCGGGGTTTCTACGGGAGTCTGTGCTCACAAACATGCGAGTTGTGCCCCTGGGAACTGTGCGACAGAGTTACGGGATGCCCAAGTATTTTTTAATCTTTATTTTTATATTTATTTGTACTTATCACAATACACAGAAATATACAAGTATCAAATAAATAATTTACTTCTAATATTCTCTGTATTTGTAACAATTTAAATTCCAGATACTACCTCAACCAATACTAAGTCCACAGTTTTACTCACTTCCAGTATTGACACAATAACCGTCAGAAGTACATTGAAGGTCACCACAGAGATAAAACTAGAGGTCACAACAGGGACCACAGCAGTTCCCACATCTACTGTTCAGAGTTTTCCTTCAACTAATATATTCCTTACTGCATCTATAAAAACTCCAAAGTCTACAACACCGTTTGTTATTCCACAGTTAGAGACGCCATATAACTACACTCCTGTGATTGCAGTTACGGGAGGGGTCATTGCCTTATTCCTGGCTATACTAGTGATTCAGAGTTCATTGAAGATGCGGCTAAAGAAACAAAAGATTACTAGAGCTGCATCAAGATTACCAAAGATACCAGTAGAAGAACAAGAAATATATCATGAAATTGACGACATGAATATGGTAATAGATAAGCGTAAGCGGGATTATCAAGGCATAGAAAAAAATAAAAAGTATTGTCATGTGTCACACTTATATACAGCAAAAACTCATTCATATCAAGAAATTAAAAATTCTTCGCAAGACGTAGAAAAGCCTGTGATAGAAACAGTACAAGAAAATAATCAATCCTCTACAGAAGGAAGCAACAGTTCAGAGGAGAGTGGGTCCTCATACCTTAAGCCCCAGAAAACAACGAATAAACACAGTTACATACAAGTAGTGGACCCGGATATACATAATGTTCCCGTGTCAAGTGTCCATACAGACGAGGAGCAGGAGAACGATTCCTCTTCTCAATATGATGACACTGTTAACCATTCTAGTGCTTTAATTCTGTCCATTTCTGAGGGAGACTACCTTGACGTAGAACACGGTTCGGATAACAATGCAACATATCTTGAAGTTGTTCATCAAGAGAAATAAAGATACATTATAATCATATTCTTACGTAGAAAAGTATCATAGTTTACAGTACGACATTTAAAATGATAAATTTTTTGTGAATAAAATGAATGAAATAAGTATTAAAAACTTCTTTAAACCCATTTATATTAGGTCTGTGTCTTTTAAATGTATAGGTAGAATGACCAATTAAAAATTGATTTTTAATGAAGTTATCTGCAATTTAAAATAATCAAATGAAATAGTGCAACGTTGTGCACACAAATCGTCTTTCAATGATAAGAAACTTTTTAAGATGGTTTCTTTATAAATATGAGAATTCGTGTTTTCTCCTTTTTTTAATAACATATCGAAACAGACATTTCATTTCAATTATATACAGTAGTAGCCAACTTCACATATTTTAAAAAGAAAATCTGAAGAAGAACGGTTCGTCCAAATTAATATTTTCTTACTAGTTCTCGGAAAGAATGTTGTAAAAAATGTAATTCTTTTTAGTATGTCTTACAATATGTCTAACTCAGTAGCACCCTAAAGTCTGATTTGCAGATCAAGTAAGTTACAATGAATTATGAAATTTAATGGGTAAGTTATCAAATATATACATATAAGTTATTGCTCAATAAAAATATTCACGAACAGAAAATATTTTCAAAGGAGATATGTACAACTTCTTTTTCTTTTTCAACATGAACAATTAAGTCATATATTTAGGGACGACTTGTAACTTATATTATACAGGACAATGGGGATATTAAACAGTTTGTGAACAAGATGTCTAAGAGTAAAGAAGAACATTCTGTTACAAGACAACAAGATACTGTATAGCAGGTTAAAATCGCGGTCGGAAAAGATCGCGATTTGTTCAATTTTCAGCAAATCGCGGTCGTTTGAATTCGCGGAAAGGAAAAAAAATACATACATTTTTTAAACAGTACTTGCAAGAATTTTTCTTAAGTTATATATTGTGTGAACTAGCTGTCATTTCCAGTCTCTATTATATCGCATATCAGACAGGAAAGGCAAGTCTATATATTGTGTCAATTGTGAGCCCGATTGAACAATTACGATACACCAGACTGATCCCGATTTGAAGTCAAAATAATGCTACGCATCCAGAATTTTTTTTTGTTTCCGAGTCCAAATAAAAAAAATTATACAGTACTGAGTAGTCCAAATGTTGAACTTTTAATCATATAATTGAAATTAATTAATTGTTTCTACCCTGTTTACTACGCTTGTGCCTTGATTAAAGGTAATGACTGAGTGAACGTACGGATGAAATTATACAAGCTAATTATAGATTGCAAAATTACCGTAATCGTTAGCCATAGAAATTAATTTAACAATGCATAAGCTTTGAAAACACTAATAACAACTACGTGTGTGTAATTGATCCATACGCTCGCATAAGTATAAAGACAGTCTACATCTAATCACCGATGATAATTAAATTTCAGTTTATCCTTATAAATAATTTCAAGAATTATTCACTGTATGTTGAATTCGCGGAATTTATTTTTCCGCGAATATAGCGAATATTAACTCCGCGAGTTAATTTCCTGCTGTACTGTACTAGTACATACCGGTATAACAACAAAGCTTTTTGATAAACGTGATTACCTAATCTTTTGAATCGTCAACTTCACTTATTTATGCAGCAATATACCTTTGTCACCTGCATAACGGGGACCCATTGGAAATAAGAAGACCCCTTTGGGGAAAAAGCCATACTGACTTCCATGGGCTATCCATGGATTTAGGCATATTCAATATAATATATTTATTTGATTCATAGGAAGAAATTCTTCATAATCACTTGTCAGTTTTGAATACTTTTAATATTCCACAGAGCCAAAATGAATTTGAACTACCTTTTATGTTTTGGATTCCGAAACTTCATAAGAATCCTTACAAACAAAGATACATTGCAGGTTCCAGTAAATGTTCAACCAAGCCTCCTTGGTTACTCCTCACTAAGATATTGACAGTAGTGAAGGAAAAACTTTAAGAGTACTGTGCAACTATTTATTCAAGAAGTGGTGTGAATCAGATGTGGATACTAAAAAATTCTAAAGAACTTTTGGACAATTTGAAATCACAAGACGTTACAAAAAGCAACAGCTTAAAAACTTACGACTTTTCAACTTTATACACAACAATTCCCTACGACAAATTAAAATCCAGACTTTTTTATATCATTGACAGCTGCTTCTTCAATAAAAATGGAACATGTAAATTTACTTACTTTGTCATTGGTCATTTGCAAAATTATTTTGCTAAAACAGATTCTGATTGCACTCATAAGTACTCTAAAGTTGACATCAAGAAGATGCTTGAGTTTCTGATTGACAATATTTATGTGTTTTTTGGAGACCAGGTATTCCAAAATTCTATTGGAATACCCATAGGTACAAATTGCGCTCCGTTATTAGCAGACTTATTTTTATATTCATATGAAGCAGAATTTAAGCAAAATCTTATACGTGAAAAGAGGAAAACTCTTGCTGTGGCCTTCAACTCGACATTTAGATATATCGACGACGTATTGTCAATTAATTATGGTAATTTCCATTCCTACGTCGATTCAGTATATCCTGGTGAGCTTGAGATAAAAGATACCACAGAGTCCGACACTTCTGTTTCATACTTGGATAATTTACTTGAAAAAGACATTAATGGTAATCTAACAACCAAGCCATATGATAAACGTGATGACTTTAACTTTTCTATCGTCAACTTCCCTTACTTATGCAGCAATATACCTTCATCACCTGCATACGGAGTATATATATCTCAGTTGATTCGATACGCAGGAGCATGCTCTAGGTATGAACAATTTTTAAAACGAGATAAATTATTGACAAGCAAGTTGATGAAACAAGAATATCAACAGTCTCGTTTAAAGTCAGTTTTGTAAGTTCTATGGTCGATACAATGACCTTCTCAGCAAATACAATTTATCGTTGAGTCAAATGCTGACTGTTTTTCATACCAGTTGTTAGTCCATTACTTAAACACTGAATTGAATTGACGACGGATTTTTTTCCGTTATATCCTGATCATGACAAGGAGCACACGGCGGGTGTGACCGGTTCGGCAGGGGATGCTCACTCCTCTATGGCACCTGATCCCACCTCTGATGTTTCGGAGGTCCGTGTTTGCTCTGCTCTTATTTTGTATTGTTTTATGGACTTTGAGATTGAATACTGTTCATTATCTGCATATCCTTTATGCAAAAAAATATTAATTAGTTAATCTGTTTTATAATTCATCTCTTATACCATGGCTGTCTATTTAAAATTTAAAATGTGTAGAATACTCACACCTCAATGTTCATGTACATTGCATAATGTCTTCTTGAATAAAGATAATTATTTTATATCTCTGGGTTGATTCCATATGCGAGAACATAATTTACTCATAAACAATTTCTAAAACGAGTTAAATTATTGACAAACAAGTTGATGAAACAAGAATATCAGCAGCCTCTTTTTTTAAAGTGAACCTTTCGACAGTTTGATACAAATATAATATAACATTGAGTCAAATACTGACTGACTTTTTTGACATTGGTTGTAAGGCCATTATTTACACGCTGAGTTATTCACAGATTTGTCAGTTATTTCCCGATCATGACAAAGAACACATGATCGATGACAACGATCACACGGCAGAGGATGCTCACTCCTCCATGGCACCTGATCCCTCCTCTTATGTTTTGGAGGTATGTGTTGCTCCAATCCTATTTTTAATGTTTAATGGTCTTTTGAGCTCAAATACTGTTCGTTATCTCCATATATTTTATGTTCCATAGTCCTCCTGGCAGACAACTGAAATTAATTTTGTTCAAATAACACTGTGTAGAAGTGAATGAATGTCATTTATTAAAGAAAATGACGAAATGTAGTAAAACATATTTAACTAGAAAGGGGGTCAGAAAACGAGAATTAAATATAAGATATTACATATCTTTATCACAATGTTGCACAGTCTGACCCCCTGCACCACAATCTCATTGTAACATGATATATGTACATAGAAAAAAGGGATTAACCAGACTAATTAAGAACTCAAAACATGGAGAAACGTTGCCATGTATAGTATACATATATCTTCAGTTGACCCCCTTCTAAACATAAAAAATTCCAAACATATATGGAAATGCGCTTCACCATATATTTCAATCATCAATACAATTTGGATAGATGCATGAAGAAATTTTTTATAACTTTTTTGTTTATAATTTGATTTGCAAAATTCGACTGGGATTGGGAAGCAGGCAATGCATATTTTAGCCCTCTCCCTGAATAAAAAACATTATGAGATACAATATCAGTTCAACAGACACTAATCCTAATAATGATAAGAAAGCAGGAAATATCATCTTTGTTGTATAAGGAAAGGGAAATATACTTCTAAAACAGGAATAGAATAATTGAAATCACAAAAATTCAAGATTTTTTTAAAATGACACCACTTATCGATTGTTATTTAAAATAGAAATTAAAGAGAAGGATTTAGGATATCAAATTATAAAACAATCGTTGCAAACTTTTAAAAATATATATATAATATAATACATGTATATGACTGAAAGAAGAAATTTCATACGATCAAAATAATGTTGATAACAAGTTGATTTCCACTAGAGCAGGAAACAAAATAACATAAAACCCCGGCCGCTGATTTCATCTAATATCCAATTATAGATTTATACAGGAAATCTATCTTATATAACCATGGTACCTCTCTGAATCTCATACATCGGAATTTCCGGTATAATTGTTTGCAAATGTTTTCTAGTTTGAATATTTTTTTATCAATAAATATCTTTTAATTTTTGATTCTTCGAATTCAGAGTTTATTTTTGTTTTACAAGTATATTTATTTAATATAAGAGCAAACCTTGTTCATTATATCGTTCTTAATGACACCCAACGCTATTGGTTGGATTTGAATTTATTGTTAAAACTACCGCCAGAATACATATTGTAGTTTCTTTTGAAAGCCTTCAGCCTTATAGAAAGAAGAAATACTTTGTTCAAAATCTCACAGGTAGTAGATAAACGTCTTCACCTCAACTACCTTTTGTAAAAACTTGAACAACAATTTCATTATTTTATTTGACGTTTATTGTGAAACATGTTATACTATGTTATAA